TGAGCACCCCTCCTTGGAATCACACTTTGTCCCGTCCAGTGGCACCACAACCATCCAGCACTAAAGAAGCATCCCGGAGCCTTCTGTTCAGAAGTGGCACTGGGAGAGGCCAGCCTCATTGCTGAGCAGAAAAACAACTGTCCACGGAACAAGCATCTGGGCCAGAGAGTGAGCCCTGAGCCATCCATGCCCACACCTGGGGGAGGCCAGATGCCTACAGAACCCGTCTTCCGCGCTCCCCCATGACAAGGCAGATGGGAGACACCCCTGCTGACGCATCTCCCCATCGGGAAGTGGGTCCAGCACGAGCACTGGCTCAGCGGCCCTCTGAGTCCCCCGTGGGTGAAAATCTTCACTCCCATCCCCCACCAACAGAAGCTTCCTTAGCGACACGAGTTTCCTCACAGCTTGGTGCCAATTTTTGAATGAATGAATGATGCAAGCATGAATGACTGAGTGAGAGAACCATGCCCCAAAGTAGTGTCACCATGCGCCCAGCAGTATCACTGTTATTGCCCAACTTTTTTTTTTTTGATAGGGGAATCATTACTCAGTAATTTTTTTATCTAGGAAAATTCATCCATTGAGGTCATAGGAAGGAGCTCCCCCCAACCGTCCCCCGCAAAAGAAAACATAAATTGGGTGCAATGATTTTAAGAAATCTATCAATTTTCAGACATGAAGATGGGAAGCTACATAAATATAATTTTGATGTTAAATAAACCATCAATAGCTGGCTCTCCGGGAGCCCGATCAATAACCTATAACCTATTGGTCATTTCTGTGTTTGATAAATCATTAAGTTAACCCATGAACTTCTCATGACAGCCAGAAAGAGGCCATCCCGTTCTGTTTTCAACTGTGCTAGCAAATGAAATAAAAAGACTTTTTAAGCATGAAGTATTTGACATTTGCAAGGCCTCAATCACTCTCTTTAAGAATAAAAATAAGCTGGGCACAGCGGCTCATGCCTGTAATCCCAGCACTCTGGAAGGCAGAGGTAGGTGGATCCCTTGAGCTGAGGGGTTCAAGACCAGCCTGAGCAAGAGTGAGACTTTGTCTCTACCAAAAATAGAAAAAACTAGCTGGGCATCATGGCAAATGCCTACAGACCCAGCTATTTGGGAGGCTGAGGCAGGAGGATCCGTGGAGCCCAAGAGTTTCAAGTTGCTGTGAGCCATGATGCCAGGGCACTCTACCCAGGTGAGAGCGTGAGGCTCAGCCTCCCCCCTCCAAAAGGCAAATAAAAGCAAAGCAAAGAACCCATTGATCATTTCTGCATTTGATAAATCATCGGGTAAACCCACGAGCTTCCCACGACAGCCAGAAAGAGCCCATCTGGTCCTGGTTGCAACGTGCCAACAACTGAAATTTTAAAAAGCGCTGTAAGCCTGAAGTATTTACCGTCGGCAGAGCCTGAATCACTCTCTTTAAGAATAAAGACGAGAAAAGCACAAAGTCTGGCTGCTCATGCGATTTGGAAATGTGCTTTCTGGCGCTCAGCTCGAGCTGATTTTCAAGACCAGTTAAGACATGTGACGGGTTAACAGCAGTTTGGGGGGGAAGATGGTGGGCAACAGAGTTTGGGGAAGTGCTGGACACCTATTCTACCCTCCTGGACCCTACACAATACCACTGCCAGCACCCTACCTTGGGGACTTGCTATAGTTAAAAGACCTATTTGCATATGTTGAAGCTGGCAGGACCAAACATAGTTGCCTTGAGGACACTTATGGTGACCCAACCAGGGCAAACCAGCTCCACACACCAGGGCATGCAACTATCAGGAAAATCCTTCCTCTGTCAGGGGTGTCCAACCTGCAACCCGAGGGCCACAAGCTGACGTTTTCCAGGCCTGTTCTGCTTATCTGTGGAGTCAGCTGTAGTGGACAATAGGCAAGGACCTTTTGTTTAGCTTATCTCGTTTCATTACCGTTTGTGTATTTTCTGTGTGGCCCAGGGAAACACACACTCTTCCAATTTTTGCAGAGAAACACAATATTGGACAGCCCTACAGAATGAAGGTGGGTCTGGCTCAGGGCCCAGCACCGTGGGAAAGTGGTGGGTCCATTCTGTGGCTCAACTGTGCCACCTTGGTGGGACCAATGTTTGTCCCGACCGCCTTCATCCCAGAAGCAGAGGATGTTCCCATCCAAGCCTGGCGCTTTCCAGACACTCCAAGGTTCTGGGCATTCCAGAGAAGAGGAGGCTTGGGTGAAAAAGACCCTCCCCTCAACCGCCATACAAGCCCCCATGGAGCTGAGGGTGGCCACAGCCTGGAGACCCTCTTAAAAAATGCAGAATAAAAGCACAGCAGGTGGCTTGGCACCCGTAACACAGTGGTTACGGCGCTAGCCACATACACCGAAGTTGGTGGGTTCAAACCCAGCCCTGGCCACCTAAATCACAATGACAACTGTAACAAAAAATAGCCAGGTGTTGTGGTGGGCACCTGTAGTCCCAGCTTGAGGCAAGAGAATCGCTTGAGCCCAAGAGTTGGAGGTGAGCTGGGATGACTTCACACTCTACTAAGGGTGATATAGTGAAACACTGTCTCAAAAAACAAACAAAAAAAACCAAAACACAGCAGGAATGAAGCAAACAGTGTTTCTGGCAATCATCCGGTGGCAAACACATTCCTATAAATATGGTATCTTGAAGGGCACTGGCTCGTGACAGGTGCCAGCACACCCATGTCATGAAGAAGGGTCCACTGAGGGCACGGGTGTCCTGTAACTTTCACGGGGACCCCACTGCACCAAAGGGCTTTGCTCCCACATCTGTGAGAACTCCTGGGATTTTCACAGGACTCACCATTGTTCACCAAGACGTGCAGAGGGATTTTCTTCATCTGGAAGTTCTGGACAAACTGCCGGACGGACCTCATGGAAGCCAGGTCACAGTACAAAAATTCCACTGCACAGAGAGAGAAAAAACATGAGGTGGTCATCTCCCAGCCCAGGCCCAGGTGAAAGAGAGCGCTAAGAGGGCCACGTCTATGCCCCTGGTAGGGTAACAAAGTGCCTGGATCAGAAAAACCAGGAGGCACAGGAAGGTGGTGGATGGCAGAGAGACCCGCAGTGAGTCACAGTCACCGTGGGGGCTGCCTCCCACCAAGAGTCCTGCTGGCCGGAAGAGGGACACTGCAGTAAGGTGAGATCACTCAGGACTCACCCTGGGCTCCAGCCCTCACAGCAGGGGACACAGAGGAGAGACTGAGGTCCCCTGTGGCCCAGACACACGCACCAGGCCTTCTGCCGGGGACATGGAGGAATCACATGTGCTGGGAGTTAAGCTGCATCATCTGCCTGGAACCCACATCCAGGATGCATGTGGGGAGAAGGGCCAGAGGCCCAGTGAGGGTGTTGGAGGGGGCAGGACTCCAGTGTCTGCTCCAAAACTGCCCTGTGAAGACAGCCTTCAAATTATAGGCTCCTGTTTCTCAGTGTCCCGAGAATACTTTACATTGGTAACCAAAAGGTGGAAATTTCCAAGAAATGAATAATTTTCCAAGAGGATATTGAGTATGAAAATCTAATCAAGCAGAGGGATCTAATCAGACCCACGGTACAGGAATGAAAATGATGAGAAATGATCTCACGGGACGGGGAGGGAGGCAGAGGGCATTTTAGCACCTGACACCAGGGATGAGGCGGGCACAGGAGGTGATGTTTTCATGCCTCCTGGAGCAGCTTCAGAGAAACTCTCATTTCTATTTAGGGGAACTAGAGAAATAAAAGTAATAACGGTTTTTGTTCCTGGGTCTCGTTTTCTTTATTTTTTTTGAGACAGGTTCTCATTCTGTGTCCCTGGGCAGAATGCTGTGGTCTTAGCTTAGCTCACAGCAACCTCAAACTCCTGGACTCCAGCAATTCTCCTGCCTCAGCCTCCTGAGTAGCTGGAATTATAGGCATCTGCCACAATGCCTGGATGGTTTTTCTATTTTTAGTAGAGTTGGGGTTTCGCTCTTGCTCAGGCTGGTCTCAAACTCGTGAGCTCAGGTGATCCTCCTGCCTCAGCCTCCCAGAGTGCTGGGGTCACAGGGCTGTGCTACTATGCCCAGTCCTTATTTTTTTGTGCAGCTTTTCTATTCCTCAAGATAACATGAAGAAAACCGAAAATAACAAGAGTCATCACTACACTCCTCGTTCCTGGAGTGAAATGCATGTCGGCCCCTGAAAGATAGATGTGACCTTATTTAGAAAAGGGGGCCTAGCAGGTGTGATTGAAATTAAGGGGACTGAGATGAACAGATTGTCTACAATCGTCCAGGTGGGCTGCAAACATCAGTGCAAGTGTACAGGACGGACGCAGAGGAGGATCAGATGCACACAGGAGGAGATGGTGGCTGTGTGGAGACAGAGGCAGAGACTGGAGTGCTGTAGCCAAAAGTTCAAGGGTGCCTGGAGCCCCCAGGAGCTGGGAGAGGCAGGAAGGAGCCTCCCCTGGGAACTCCCGAAGGAATTGGACCCAACTGTAATAAGTTTAATGGCAAAATACATGTCCGTGCCCTACAACCCAGAACCTCTGAGTAGAATATAATTTGGGAATAGGTCTCTGCTGATGTGATGAGTGAGGGAGCTTGCGATGAGACCATCCTGGATTAGGGAGGGCCCTAAACCCAACGACAGGTGTCCTCCTAAGAGACACAGACACAGAGAAGAAGCCATGTGGAGATGGAGGCAGAGCCTGGAGTGACGTGGCCACAAGCCCAGAGACTCCTGCAGCCCCCAGGAGCTGGGAGAGGCAGGAAGGAGCCTGTGGAGGGAGCGTCCCTGAGACACCTGCAGCTCAGACTCCTGGGCTCCAGGGCTAGGAGACGGTGAATCCTTATTGTTCTAAAGGACGGAGCTTGTGCTAATTTATTACAGCAGTGACAGGACTCAAACGCATCTCCTTCTCAGCGTCATAGAGAGCTCTAGGTCTCCATCTAGCCAATTGCACACCAGATCTTAGAATCCACACGGAACGTCCTAGAAGCCAGTGCCAAGCCATGACATCCACCGTGCCCCCTTGATTCACTCCCTGGACATGTACCAAAGTCTTGGAGGTGCAAGGAGTGAGAGGCAAAAGCTAAGGCCAACAGTCCCACCCCCACGATGAAGTTGGGACATCTCTAGCCATAGTCACATTCCCTGACATGGTAGAAGAAGTCTCAGAACTCGCAGCCACTGAGATATGTGTGGTTATGGTTTCATCACAGAAAAAAAGATAGATGGGAAAGTTAGCAGAGGCCAAAAGTGCATGTATGGGAGTGCAGGAGACGACGGCATGAGCCGTCCCGCGTCTCCACCCAGTGTAGTTAGGGACACTGCGTCGTGCTGCCACCAACACTGTCTGATGACACAGACAGGAGGTCACCAAGGAGCCCTACCCCAGCCCTGGGGTCTGTGTCTTTGTCAGAGCTGGGCCACGAAGACATGGCTGACTCCAGTCTTCAGCCCCTCCAGGGCTCACACCTATACCCCGAGGTTCAACATCCCCACCAGAAACCTCAACCTTAGCACAGACTTTCTCCAGGGTCCAAGCATCCAGGTAGACATTCTCATGGGGCAGGACATGGTAAGAGCTCAGAGGTGAACTGGTAGACCCAGGGACAAAGACCACACTTTTCCTGGGTGAGCTTGACCACTGACTGCACTCCGTCCTGAAGGTGGGTGCATGTCCTTTCCAGAACATTCCTGACCACCACATGTACCAGCACACAGCAGTCACAACCATCGTAAACTACATCAAGACTTGCTGTGCCCTGCCCTCACTGCTACACTTAGCAGCTAGGGCAGAGTCTGGGGCTACGCAGCCTAGGAGCTTCTGAGTGATATAAAAGCACTGGGCCTAGAACCACCCCAGAGGACCCCTAGCAGTCTGGGGCCAAAAAAAAAAACACTTGCTTTGGGATTGAAATCCTCCCCTGCCAGGACTTAAATTCGCCTTTGCATCACTTGTGACAAAGAGTTTTTCTTTTTTTTTTTTGTAGAGACAGAGTCTCTCTTTATCACCCTTGGTAGAGTGTCACGGCATCACACAGCTCACAGCAACCTCCAAATCCTGGGCTTAGGCAATTCTCTTGCCTCAGCCTCCTGAGTAGCTGGGACTACAG